ACAAATATGCACGAGTCCATACCGATTAAGTAAATAGTAGAATACGGGGATGGAGAGATAATGGCTCAGAAATTAAGAGCACCGAGTGCAGCCTGGCATAGTGGCGCACATCTTTAACCCAGCACTCAGGAGGCAGAGGCAGGTGGATCTTTGAATTGGAGGCCAGCCTGGTCTACAAATCAAATTTCAGGACAGCTAGAACTACACAGAGAAACTCCATCTTGAAAAAAAAAAAAAATACTGACTGCTCTTGCAGAGAACCCAAGTGTCTTAGGTAGGATTTCTATTTGCTGTGATGAAACACCATGACCAAAAAGCAGGTTGGGGAGAAAGGGTTTAAATTCAGCTTATTCTTCCATATTGCCATTCTTTATTGAAGGAAGTCAGGACAGGAACTCAAACAGGGAAGGATCCTGGAGGCAGGAGCTGATGCAGAGGCCATAGACGGGTGCTGCTTACTGGTTTGCTTCCCCTGGGTTGCTGGGCCTGCTTCTCCAGCTCAGGGATGGCACCATGGCCTGGGCCCTCCCGCACTGATCACATTGAGAAAATGCCTTACAGTTGGATCTCACGGAGGCATTCTCTCAACGGAGGCTCCTTCCTCTCCGATGACTCTAATTTGTGTCAGGTTGACACACAAAACTGCCAGTACACCAAGTTTGGTTCCCAGTTTACAATCTCAAGTTCCAGAGGGTCTGGCGCTCTTTTCCAGCCTCTGTGGGCATCAGGCACACACATGGTATAAATAGACATACTTGCAGTCAAGGCTCATATGTGTAAAATAAAAATAAATAAATCTTTAAAAAAATAAGAGTTCCTTGTCTTAAAAATATGTGAATGATTTGGGGTAGGGTCATGGGTCAGTGATAAAGCATGTGTCTGTAAGGCCTGGGGTTCAGTCCTCAGACCTGAAGGAAAAACAATTGAATAAATGGATCAGAGAGGTGCTTGGAGACAGCAAAGTTAGGGAGGTGTTTTCTGAGGCAGCATGAGGGCCTGAGTTTGGTGTGCTGGCTTGGCTTTGTAATCTCAATGCTGAGAAGACAGAGAAAGGCACATCCCTGGAGCTGGCTGTCTGGGCCGCTCAGTCCAACCTAGCCTAGCCAATGAGCACTAGGTCCCAGTGAGAGACCCTGCCTCAAACAGCAAGGTGGATGACTCCCAAAGAACTACAGCCAGGGCCTGGAGAGACGGCTCAGAGGTTAAGAATACTAGCTGTTCTTCCAGAGGTCCTGAGTTCAGTTCCCAGCAACCACACGGTGGCTCACAACCATCTATAATGAGATCTGGTGCCCTCTTCTGGTGTGCAGGTAGACAGAACATTGTATACACAATAAATAAATGCATAGATAGATAGATAGATAGATAGATAGATAGATAGATAGATTAAAGCATGGAAAGAGAAGAACGGTATCTTTCAGCAGTAGATAGCAAAATAAGCAAAGAAAACAGCTATTTATCTATCATTTAATCTCTATCCATCTGTCATCTAATCTATCTATCCATCCATCTGCCTGTTGAGATAGGGCCTCACTGTGCAGCTCTTGCTTACCTGTGTATATAGACTCACAAAGATCTACCTGCTGTGGCCTCGAAAGTGCTGGGATTAAAGGTGTGCACCATTTAATAATTTAAAATTATTATTATAGATGTGCATATGTCTGTCTTTCCCACAGGTATTTGTGGGCCCTGAGAGGCCACAAGAGGATGTTAGATGCCCTGACCTAGAGACACAGGCGGTTGGGAGCCACCCTGATTGATGTGGCTGCTAGCACCCTTTACAAAAGCAAGAGCTCCTAACCACTGAGCCACCTCTCTGGCCCCTAACAGCTATTTTAGAAAGTCATCTTCCTTCAGTCCTTTCTCCTTCCCACTGAAGAGCTCCAAGAACCTAGGGCTTCGAGCATAGTGAGTGCTCTGCTACTGAACTACACCCTAACCTTCCTCACCTACTCAGTCCTCTTGGACGAGCTGAAAGTCAGTCTCTAAACCACTCAGCCAGCTCTTCCAAGGCAGGAAGTCAGTCTCAGTCTAGACATTTGCATATGATTCACGAATATTACACTGATCCCTGTTCACCCCCACCCCAACACGGTCAAATGCTGGTTGGGGGAGAGTGATCACATTTAGGGAGTGAACCCAAGAATGCTGTTAAATACCTTTTGGTGTCTCCCACGATGGAGTGCCATCTGTCCCAAGTCAATCTTTACTTTCTCTGTGCCCTGCCTTCATTTTTTATAATGTGATGACTGATAACTGGGGATTTCCCATCATTAACGGAACCTTCTTACCAACCATTACCATGATAGCATCAACCTTCATTGGCTCAAAAGACACAAAGGTATGACAGGGGAGGTGGTGGAGCACCCCTTTAGCCCCAGCACTAGGAAGGCAGAAGCAGGCGGATCTCTGAGTTGGAGGCCATTCTGGTCTACAGGGCAGGCAGGGCTGTACAGAAACTCTATCTCCAAAGACCAAAAAGAAAAGAAACAAAGGGACAGTTCTTGACACTCACTTGCCAAGGAAGGCGGGACCTGACACATTTGTAAGCAATGGCTTTTCACCAGTAGATGGCACTCTCTTCCCCTAGACTAAATGAGTTATGAATGAACTTTTCCTCACCCCAGACCAAGAATCATAGTAATGAATAGGAGCCATCCCTAATTCATGCCTAGATCATTTATATCCCTCCTCTCTCTCTCATTCCCTGTCGCTCCACATGTTCCCATATATAGCATTCTGTTAACACAGTCACCTTTGGTATTGGTCCGAAGCACACAGATAGTCCACACCTCCCAGATAGTCAACTCAGAGCTTGACTTTAAGATGGTGTCGTGAGGCCTGGGATGGCATGAAGGATTCTCTGAGAAGGCAATGGGGTGAGCGAAAGGATCAGAGCAGAAAAATGGAGGTCTTCAGTAGCCATCAGAGTTAAGAAACACTAATTGGGCTGAAGTGGGATAGACAGACTCAGAGTCTGGAAGCTCCTGCCGCCACCAAAAGGCTTTCAAGTTGCTGGAGTTAGAGCTGTGCTCGCACACTTAGTGTGACTAGGCAATAAAGAAGCTGAGTGAAAAGGAAAAGAGAATGCATTGGGGGAAGTCACCTTGCAAAAAACACGAGGTGGGAGAAGCCTACAGCCAGTCAGCAATGTCACCCTCCCACAGAGCGAAAATGTTCAGAAAACACCACTGCACTAAATACATTCGGGTGTTTCCCCCTGCAGTTATTCTCAGAACAATGCAGTATGACAACTATTTACATAGCATTGGATTGTATAAGCAGTCTAGAGATAATTTAAAATACATAGGAGGATATGGCTCTGCAAAAGTGATTATGGGCCACTCCACTGGAGGGGAGGAAAAAAAAAAAAGAAAAACAGCTTGGGTTCTTTTTGTTTCACAGGCCTCCAATGTGTTATTTCAATACTATAGTGTCAGATTTAAATTATCTACTTTGAAGGGCCGTGGTAGCCGATGCCCTTAATCCCATCACTTGGGAATCAGAGGCAGGTGAGTCTTTGAGTTCAAAGTCAGTTTGGTCTAAAAAGCCAGTTCCAGGACAGTTAAGGCTATACAGAGAAACCCTGCCTGAAAACAAACAAAATTCTCTACCTCAAGGAATTTGGTTTAGTGTTAATTAGCTGCTGTAAATGAGCCAACATAGGGAAGCATTTATCTAGAAAATAGTTTTCCTCCTTTTCTTCTTGCCAAAATATAAGGTAGGTTTAGGATGTCATTTTCCTAGGAGGCTGGATCACGGTCCCTGAGCTCTAAACTCAATTGGGTCATCTGGACAACTTTAACCACAGTTCATCCCAATTATGTTGCTTAGTGACTTAGTGATAATTTAAAAGTACTATATTACTGAGGCCTGCATAGTCTGCATTGCTCACTGCGAGCTCTATTGGTTGATGTGGGTCTTCAGAGCTCACAAGCACACACACACACACACACACACACACACACTCCCCCTCCCATCTACTATTTGAGAACCAATGATGCTTACAGATTATTCCCCTATAGGCAATGGATGCATTCCCC